AAAAAAAAAAGAACTTTCCCAGAAGCCTCACCCAGTGACTTTTACTTTTAATAGCATCTACTTCACAGGTTGTTAAAGGTTTTTAATTAAATGAGTTTCTATGTGTAAAAGCACTTACGATGGTGCCTGGCATACAGCCAGCACTCTGTACATGTTAGCTATCATTATTATTCACTGCCTGGAACTGTGTCACATGACCACCCTGAGCTGAATGGGAGGTTTTGCACCCTATAAAATCGAGGGTCTGTTAGTAAGGAAGAAGGAGAGAAGCATATTGGGTAGGCAGGTGGCAATGTTGGCCACAATCTGTCTCACTCTTTTTGTAATACCCCAGTGCCGGACACATAGAAGTACTAAAACAAATTTGTAGAATGAAAGAAGGGGAGAAAGGAAAGAAGGAAGGAGGGAGGAAGGGTAGCAGGTAGGCAAGCAGTTGCTTGGCTTTATTGAAGAGGATGGAAACAATGGTTAATAGTGCAGACCTGGAGTTTAATCGCCAGAATTCAAATCTTATTTCTAAGACTTATTTGCTGGGTAACCTTGTAAAAATTATTTATCTCTCAGTACCTCAATGTCCTCATGTGTAAAATGGGAATAGTATCAGTTCCCAACTAGTGGGATTCTTATAAGAATGAAATAAGATAGTGCTTGGAAACCCTCTGCATCTGCCTGGCACAGAGTAAATGCTCACAACCTTTAAAAAGCATTATTAATCTTTCTTGTGCAGCCCCTCACATAGTGGGAATATTTGGGTGAAATCTTCATGGGTACAGAGTATGGTCAACACCTTTATAGATTTGACTCTAATTTCCTGTGGAGCAAATGAAATAAAAGATTTAAAATTTCACTCTAAACTGTTATACAAAGCCATGTATCAGTATTATCAATGATAATGCAACTAATATTTTTTAGTGTTAACTGCTACAGGGGCTACAGGGCAGATAAGGTATAACCTCTGGCTTGGAGACACTAACAAAATGACAAGATATGACTCTGCCAGCGACAAGTGCTACAGGAGAGGTACATATTATCCTGAAGGCCTACAGGAAGAAAAGATCATATCTTGTTTAGAGAGATATGGAAAATATTTACAGATGAGTTAGAATTTGAGATGGGCTTTTCTGCTAAATAGGATTGAAGGGAGGACCTCAGATGATGGACATCCTTTGCAGAGGGGACAACATGAATAAGATCACAGACAGGAAGGCATATGGCACACTTGGAAACACTTTGGAGAATAGGTGAGCACTGAGAAACGCAGTATGAAAAGAGTGTTGGGACCACTAATGGACTAAAACATCAAAATGAAGCATTTCTGCAGCAGATATTGAGGAATCATTGAAGCTTCTTTGGTAGAGAATTTCGAGCTGAGTGATGTGCAGGATTGGATGAGTAAAATGGGAGTCTACTTAAATGGCATCATCCTAACACAAGTGAGACTTAAAGGGGGCTGATAGGAGGGAGCCATGGAAATGTAAGAACATTGTCCAGGCAATACTTGGAGTTGCCACTAGTTAGACTGATGGACAAAAGACAGTTTCAAATACAGCTCCAAGATGTTGATTCTGATGAAAGAAAGGATGGTGGTGTTAAGAGGCGATTCATTCATTCCATAAATATTAATTAAGGTCCTGCGATGAGCCAGGCACTGTTGAGGTTGCTGGAGATATAGCTGTGAACAAGGCAAAGCCCATGTCCTTGTGGAGCTAAACTTCCAGTGGTCATTCTTGGTCAGGGAATAGAAGTTTGAGGAACATCTGCTATTAGGAAGAGGGGGGAATGAAGCACAGCAGGCAAAGGAGAAGCAGAGGATAGAATATCATGGAGCCAGGGAGGAGAGGTATACAAAGGAGGCTGCTGAGGAGGCAATGTAGCAGAGTTAAGCCTGATGAGAACTGAACACAGGCTATTCCCACTGTCATTTCCCGGTGTAGACCTTTTGCCTCCTAGGTGGTCCTCTGCATCCAGTTCTTTCTCTATCAACACTTCCTTAACTTTCCCGCCACACAGATCTCCCTCAAATATTCCAAATACAAATTCCTTGGTGTGTCATTCACTTTAGCTCCTGCCTTTCCAGCTTCATCTATCACTATCCCTATTCTCAATTGCTCAAACTTTTAGCTGAAGTCAAAATTATTTTCTCCCTGACTCCCTCATTCATTCCCGTATGGAAGCTGGATTAGACAGGGATGATACCAGACGCAGAGCCTAAGCAGGCTATTGAGATAGTCCACCCAAGGTGCTCAAGTGGGAAAGGGGATAATTTTGAGATATTTTAAGTGTATTCTTACGCATGCTACTTACAGTTGGTGGAGACCAAATAAACATTGAAAATGTTATAAAGGTTCAGAGAATGCGGAACGAACACTTTTCACAGGGTTTGTATTGAAGATACGCTAGGAAACTGTCTTTAAGGTGTTGGCAAACTTGAAGCCCTACACAACTGTTTCCCATGTTCAGATAACTTGGCAATCACCTATGCTAAAAGACGAGTGATCTTTGTATACCCTGCCACAGCTAGTATCGATTATAGAGAGCAATAAATGCAAACTTAAAAAACCTGAATGAACGAGTGGCCACCTGGCCGAGCGGACCCTTAAATCCATGAGCAGACCTGGAAGATGGCGTAGCACTCCCGTCCCAACTTCCAAACTCTCCAGGAAGAGGAACTCCATTGCCCATAAGGCTCTTCGCGACGTGCCGGCGCTCCCGCGGGGCATCCTGGGAGGCGTAGTCTACTTTCCTCAAATCGCATTCCCGAAGACCCGCCCTCGCCAAGATGGCGGCGCCCAGTTTTGGCCGGTTCGTCTGCTCCGCGTTTTGGCCGGGGCCGGGGTCTGGGCTTTAGGAAGTAAGTCGGGCTGGCTGCCGGGTATCCCCAGGGGGTCGTGGGAAGCGTAGGGACGTTGTTGGCGGCACAGCCTGAGGAGGGCGAGGCGAGGGGCGGTCCGGGCCTGCCTGGGTACTCGGCGCTTTTCTGACGTTGGGTCAATGGTCTCTGGCCTCGGAGACCTCTGCCTCGTCGCGCCTCTGGGCCCGGAGGTGGCGTGGAGGGTGAAGTGGGGGATTCGGGAATCCAGAAGATGAGCTCGAGGCTAGACTGTCAGTTCCATTTTTTGTGCTTTTCTTCTGACGAGTGTACTTCAGCCCTTCCTGTCAATTAGAAATTGTGCTAGGCGCTTTACATTTCTCATCTTCAAGTGACCCTGCGCAACATTCGATATGAAATCTTGAGCAGATGACCTAGGTCCCTAGGGCTGATATTTGGATTAGTGAATACATATTGGAGGGCCTTTAGGCGCCGTAATTTTAATTGCAGTCTTCCCCACCCCACCCCCAAC